TCCTCATCCAGCACCTGCTCTCCCTTGAGCCTTGAACAGAGCCCCGTTGTTGCCCTATAAATAGATGTTGCTGATACGAATCCGTGCGCTGGGTGACCCAGGGTGGGTTTTGAGGCCGGTGGCTGACAGTCAGTGCCCCTGTGTGCTTGCCTCTCCGGTGCCGTTAGTGCTCCGTTACGGAAGGCCAGCACTGCTGAACGTCCTGCCCAGGTCAGCGGGGATCCTCAGGGACACAGACACCTCCAACTGCTCCTGCCGGGCAGCATCGCCCCTGCATTCCCTCTGCTCCCCCCTTTCCGCAGTGAAACAGCCATTTCCTAACGCAGCTGCTTTTTTTTGTCGTTGTTTTCAAGTGCTTGAAGAGGCCCTTGATACAAAAATAGCTAAATGAGCTTTTCTTAATGGAGAGAGACTAACCGTGTAGCTGTTGCAGATGTTTCCGTGCTGAGCGGCAGGTTCGGGAGCCCCTGCCCCGGCGCGGGGGACGCTGCTGACACTTGCTTTCTGTCCCAGGCTGATCCACCCGGCAAGCGGCCGTTCTTACCACGAGGAGTTCAGACCCCCGAAAGAGCTCATGAAGGACGATGTATGTGAGCTCCTGAGGCCGCTCCTTGCGTTGCTTTGGGTTTAGCTGGTGCTTTGCAGCGTCCCCGGAAAAAAAAACCTCTTTTCCTTCTCTCCTACCTTCTCTCCCACCTTTCTGGGGAGCGTGGGGAAGCGCCCTTGAGCCTGGCTCTGCTGGCCTCCCGGCTCGTTGACACTGCCCGTAGTTGCTCCCGCAGCGGGTTGCGACTGCCTTTCCTCCTGGGAAGCAACTGCAGCTGCCGCTGGCTCTCGATGCTCCTTGGGCTCCCTTTAAGCGAAGTGGTGTGTGGGGGACAGGCCGCGACGCCGAATCCTTCTCTCTTCCGTGAACTGCTCCGGGACTTGGTTCGGCCCCGCGGTGCAGCCTGTCTGCAGGAGGGGGACAGGGGGTGTCGCAGCGGCACGGACAAGGCGGGAGCGCGCCAGGCTGCAGCCGGCTGGAGACTGTCCCCTTGCTTCTCCCAGGTCACCGGAGAGCCCCTGATCCGCCGCTCGGATGACAACGAAACAGCCCTGAAAACGCGCCTGAAGGCCTATCACGCGCAGACCTCCCCGCTGGTCTCCTACTACAGCAAGCGCGGGATCCATACGGCCGTGGACGCATCCCAGTCTCCCGACGTGGTGTTTGCCAGCATCCTGGCAGCCTTCTCGAGAGCGACATGTAAAGACCTGGTTATGTTCGTTTAGGGCTCCATCCTAGCGTGGAGCTCTCCTTTGGGTTTTTTTTTCTCTCTCCATCTCTCTCTGTCTCCGTCTCTTGGGGCCAGGGAGGGACGAGCTCAGCAGGGTAGAAGAGGGGACGCTGCAGCCCGGGGCAGGTCTATGCAAACTCTTATTAAAGGAGCTGTTACCGTCTCTCATCCACGTGCACGTCTGTCTGCCGGTGCTTTGGCCCCTAGAGGGAGCAGCGAGCCCGGCCTCCGTGGGCTGCTGCCAGCAATGGGGTCTGAGCCCCTTTGGGTCAAAAACCTTGTCCTTCCTGTGGCTCCCTAGGAGACAGAGAGACATTTGCTGCTCTTCCCAGCTGCTCTGCATGGGCAGAAAGCAAGATAGAGTGGGTGAGAGATGGGGCTTTGGAGCCTCCTCGTCTCTGGACCCCAAAACCTTTTCCAGTCAAGGTGTGGCCTTCCAGTATAGCAAATGGTAGCAAAAATAGTTGTTTTCTCTGAAAAAGTGCAGCCAGCTGGGCTCTGCTGAGGATGAGGACAGGATTTGAGTCAGTCTTCTCTCTGCTTTTCCTGTGGCTTTGGCCAAGGAGATGAAGATGTCTTAAAGCCCTATTTAAAAATGAGTAATTTTAGAGGCCAGGGAGACGGAGCTACTAACCACACTTTTACATGCCCTTGAGCCGGCGACCTTCCTCATGAGATCATGGAAACGTTCTTGTTTCCTGAGAAAACCAAACAGCTCGGGCTGGCTCTCGGCTGCAGACACCGCGCTGTGGTTAGTGCCTCGGTTTCCCAGGGTCTCACACTGCTCCGTAACGACCCTGGAGCTAGGAATGACCTTTGCTCGTGTAAGAATTGAGCTCGGTCTAGCAGAAGCCCCTGCTGTAGATGCAGCCTGCTGTCCTTTGCCCTGCTATACCTGTTTGCTGACTCAGTGTTACCGAGTCCCCTTCTTGTGGGGGAGATGACGCGTCCGCTTCTGCTGTGGGTGTCCAGAGCAAGTGTCCAACCCGCAGGAAGCCTTTACCCCTTTTCTTGGTAATTTCTCTTTTGTCAGAAAATCACTTGCTGGCCTTTTACGTCCTTTCTAGGGAAACCACCTCTTCCCTTTCAGCAGACTAGAAATAACCCCAGAAACTGAAAGCAATCGCCCTGTTCTTGAAAGCATATGACTGTGTGGAAAGGGACCTGAGAGCAGCCAGTAATTCCAGCTCCAGGAAGCAGCTTTTATCTTGCATTTCTTGGCCAGTTCGTGTTCCTGGATTTGGTCAAGGTTTTATTCTACAGCAAGAACAACGTGTTCTTCCACTCTCTGCTCCTTTCCTTCTCATGTTCGCTTTGTATCCAGCTCGCCAGCCTTTTTCAGCCATAAACCGTGATTCATTTTGTTTTTTTCTTCCCCTAAATCTATTTTTTTTTCTCTCTGTGTTCCCATTTTTCCAGCTGAGACTCCGTGACCCAGATGAGACACCACCAAACGCTGCACACTCTGCTCCATCACCCATTGCATTCCTCACGGGGCACGCAGGGTGGGCAACTGAGAAGAGGGGGAAAGGAGGTGGCAGAGAAGGGGATTTGGGCTTCATTTGGGGAGTTTTGCTTGTTTTTAAGGGGGGCTTTTTTATTCACCAGAATCGTTTTGAAGGGGAGAGGATGTCCTTAGCAATCAGTGTTTGGAGGCAAAACAACTGCAGAGGGAAATGATCAGATCCAGGTCTTTGACCTGCTAGCAGGATAGGGCTGGTGCCAATTTGGGCTTCTCCAGGAATTCCAGCGTTCACCTTTTGCGCCCTGGGACTCTGTGGCTATTGTGAAGTTTACTGTGATTTCTGGCAGCAGGGACCAACATGGATAAGCGACTCATTAGCTCTGAAATTGAAAGTGAAAAGAGATGCTGGGGTCTTTTCCTGGAAGTTTTGCTTTCTGTTATTCCACTGCATCCCTCGGCCCCAGCGTTCACTGCTCAAGGTGTTTCTGCTGCTGGCTCTGCTCCAAGCCTGCCTTACCTGGCCATAGGGTGACTTTCCTGTGATCTTGAGTGAACTGGAATTCACGTAGTGCTCAACAAATGCAAAAGACTTTCTTAACTTGACTACAAAAATGACACTTAATTGGTGTTTGCATTTCTTTATAGATCAAATGGTGCCTTGTCTAAACTCTGAATCAATAATAAAATAACCCCTTTACATTTTGTATCTGTTGCCATGTCTTCTTTGACCTGCAGACAATGTGGAAGAAGACAGGGAGCAGATGACAGCAATGGAGCGGGGTGGATCTTCAGGCCTGATCTTATCACAGGGATGTTATTCTGTGCACTTAAAAATGTCTTCCAATTCCTTCTCTTTCTTTTCCTTGTCGAGTGTGTTCCGGGGCTGTATTATCACCATAGCAATGTTGTCTCTTGCTGGTTCTGTCTCTCCTGTTTCTTGATGTGTGGAGCTGAAAGCACCGAACCCCTGTGTGTCCTGACCCCTTCCTGACCGGGGCTCCTTTCAGCTATTTTTAGAGCTGACAGAATTCCTAGCCCTATTCCCCCCTCCTTTTGCATCGCTTGTGTGTGCAGGAGCTGTCGTTCTTTTCCTTCCTCTCCTCCTGCAGCAGCTGCAAGCCAAATAGCATCTTTGGTGCCTTTCACACCATGTTGCACTCTGGCATGTCTCTGCACGCACAATAACGCAGGGTTTGAGAGGATTTTCTTGTCTCCCTTTATCCTGCCTCCACAGGGACCCTGTGACTGTTTCTCAGAGGTATCTGCAGAAAGGCTCTTCTTGCTGTGCCCATGAAGGCTCTTTGTGTCCCCCAAGGTACCATGCTGCAGCCCTGCTTGTGTTTGCTGCTTGGATTGAGGCTCTGTAAACAGCCACCAGCAAGGCTCAGGCTGCCCACACCCATTTCCTCCAGAAACAACTGCTTGCTTCAGTGTTACTGAGCTCTCCTGCTCCTCAGCCATTCAGTTTCCCTGCGCTCTGCTGTTTTTCCTTACCTCTCCCATTACCATTTTCTCTCCTTGGAAGGCGAGCTCGTGCTTCTCCGGCAGTTGTTGCATTCCTCCCTCGTTTCTTTTGATGATGGATGTTAAACTATGCTCCTCTTCATTACTGGTGACTCAGTCTTCTCACTACATGCCCGCTGTTGTTTCGCAAAACCTGTTCTGCCTGCTCTTCCAAAGCTTCCAACCTGTGAGATGGAGGCATCCTGGCTCCTCTGAGCTGGGCTTCTTCCGTTTGATCCCCAACTTAGCCAAGTGTGGAACAGGAAACACCCTGGCAGGTCGCTGTGGGAAAGGGCACTTTTGGGAGGCTATTTAAGCGCAGTCAAGCCCATGTCCTCTCCCGTTGGATCTGTTCTGTGACCTGTCTCTATCATGTTGACCTTGAACGTTTCCACAGTACAGGATGCTCTGCAGGTGCCGTAAATTCCTTCTGTTCAATGATTTCACTCCAGCAAGCTGCTTATCAGGCATTCTTTTGAAAAATATGTTCATATTTCATACAGACAATTATTCAGCAACTATAAAAGGGAAAAATTCCTATTTATAGCACAAGGCCACATCAAATAGGACACTGAATTCTCTCCGATTAGAGGAATGACCTGTTCTCTAATGCAGCAATACTTTGGCTGAAAAGCAGCAGCATCTTGGATGGGGGGAAGGGATGAAAAGCCCTAGGCCATCTCTTCCCATTAAAGATGGGCTGTAGTCCTAAAAATACAGTACGTGCCCTTCGCCCTTCCTGAGGAAACCTTCTGTGAAAAACACATTGCAGAAAAACCTTTCGTTGGGGATTTGCGGTGAGTAATAATGAACTGGGTGACTCGCGATGGTCTTATTTGGAGCTGCGATCGATACCTGAGCCCTGACCTTGGGCTGGGAGCAAGGGCAGGCCCTGCACCCGTCTGCTGCGGAGAACAGCACCGAGGCGTGGCCCGCGCAGAGCCTGCACGCGGGGCGATCGCGGCGTGCGCGCGCCAGGGCTCTGCACGACGAGCACGTGGCACCGAGGAACAAAGAAGCGGCTGCGAGCGCTAAGCGGAGGGGCCAGGAAGGTGGGGAGAACGTGCGGCACCGCTCTGCCCTCCCTGCTCCTCGAACACGAGCCCTGCTGCCCCCCAGCACTGCTGCCCGCGCCGGCCTTTGCCCGCTGCTGCTCTCTGCTCCCGCCCTGCCCCTTCCCGGGGTTTCCTGGTCGGGATTCCCTCTTCTGTTGCTGTGGCAACTGTAGGGAAGGGAAGCGCCGCGGACGAGCCCCGCGCAGGGAGGCTGCGGCGCGGAGGCGCGCGCGGAGGCAGGGCTGCAGTGACATCACGGCGGGGAGGTGGTGCGCGGCGAAGGCCAGCGGGAAGGGGAGAGCCAGGGAGGCTGCGGAAGGAAGGGAGCCGCATCAGGAGGGAGCTCCGGGGCGAGGTAAGAGACCCGCTGGGGACAACGGGTCAGGGCGGGCGCCGGGGATGGGTGCAGGACCAGAGTCTTCCTCGGTGTCTTTGTGGCTCTTGTGAGCTGGCTCTTGGCAGCAGCAACACTGTGCAGTGCCTTAACAGCTGGCACTGCAGGGCTTGGCTTGCGCACAGCAGGAGCGGCTCAGAGCCCGCATGGCTGGTGCTGGAGCTGCAACACGTCCCTCGGGATTCCAGCATGTGCCAGGAGGAAGCTCCAGCTCGGTGTGAAGGGATAGGGGAGCATCCCCCTCTCTCTGGAGAGGAGGACCGGAATCTCCTCCACGGACTAAGGCACAAATTGTTGAACAAACAAGTAAGAAGTCTGGAAAGGCAGTGTGCCCGATCTGTGTTCAGAGAGGGCTGCAAGCAGAGCGGGAGCGCAGGGACGCAGCCCAGCCGGGTGCATTTGCAGCGGGTCACCTAAACTACCCATGTCCAGGAGCCTCGACACTTACCCTGCTCATGCAGGACGCGATCCCTCTGGGGCGGGCAGCCAGCTGGGTGTGCGTTGCCAGGAGCGCTCTGGATGCTGATCCTGGGGATCCGCAGCCCTGGAAGGCAGAATAACGAGGTCCTTGGAACTGCCCTGCGTGTCATGATGCCTTTCAGCATCACGGTTGCATAACGGGATCCGATCTGCTAGCGGCGAGAACCAGGGGTGACGGTCACCTTTGTGCCCTGCAGCATCCCCATGGTACCTAAGCACAGCGCTGGCCATCAGCCAGGGGGTGAATTTCATCTCTTTCTAATC